CTGGGATGACGTGGTTCAAGTTAATTGCGAAGAAACGGTTTTAGTTTCAGAACATTTATGAGGCTAGTCGCGCCAAATAGTATACGTTTGTTACAAAATGTCATAGAATGTTGACGTGCTATCCAGATGATGGAATTTATTTGACACAAGAAGTCAAAAAGTGGCATCGTTAGCCATCCTGCATACCTATAAATCGATTCGTCACCTTGGTTCGAGCTCAATAGTTCTTTTCGCGGATGATCGGTTTCGTTTTCTTTTTCTTTTCTTTTTTTTTGGGGGGGGGGACAGATTATGAGCCAGTAACCACCCTCCCTAGCCCCCCAAACAATTGTTGACAAATACTGTGATGGCCTAAAAAATGCCCTCACTCTCCCCTATTTGGGGCTCTCAACTTTGATTTGTTAAAGTTTTTGTCTGTTCATTATAAAAGCTGTCAAATTTGCCATATCATTTAACTTTTATTGAGTTTGTATTTCACACTTATCTAAAATGAACAATTTTGTCACTGGCTTCTTTTATGAATGGAATTGGATGGTCGCATGAATGAACGAATGAATAGCTCCATTTGAGCATCAGCTGAAATCAATCCTAAAATTTAATCTACCAGTCTGCAACGAAAAGGTTTAAAAACCAGTGCAAGTTAGGTGCAGTTTCTAATCTATGCCGTTTTTATTAAGTGTCTCATAGCTCCTTAATCTTGAGCCGCTTCTCTTACGATTCATCTTATGTGGTGCTTAGATTGTTCAAGAAGTTATAGTATTCGAGCTCGTTGGTCTTAAAAACTGCTATCGAAGTAAATTAAAGTGCTTCGGGCTTCGGCACTTAAAAAACAATCGATATTTAACCCTCACCCACTTAGGCATTTCTTTCCAGCGTCTTACATGTAGCGGAGGGGCGTAGAAACCCTCAGCCATTCGGCCCTTGATAAAAATAGCCAGAGCTTCGCTGAAAAATAAAAAAGAGCGAGCTGCTCGTGACGAGAGAAATCCGATGATTTGAGGGTCCTGGTCATCGCTGACGAGAGAAAGCCAATTATTTTTATATCCTGGTCAATGCTGAGTTCCTAGGTCACTGGTTGACCTCCTAGATCAGGTTAATAACCCAAAAGCACGTAAAAATGGGTCCTGCTAGAATTTCTACAAGTGAAGTTTGCTGGGACTTGGCTTGCTTCTGAATCCGAATTTGCACTTGCTTTGATCAAAGATGATGTATCAAAGCATTTGGGGTAGGACGGCTTACGCCAGATCACCCATTAGGCGTTCTGCCACCTATCCATAGAATGTTAACCAGCACTTACAGCCTTGCAACATATTGCATAGGCACTATAACTGATACCTAAGTATGCCAGTTTTCAAATGCTAAAATGAGTGCTAAATTTCAAACCAACACTTCCTAAAAACCACAGTAAAAAGGTGTGAATTTAAGGAAGTTAACCGATATCATTTCAAGTAAATGACCTTAACCCTGAGTTTCACGTGACCTTGGCACCCACAACAATCAATGAGACAAACATTAGATAGTATATTTCACATGTTGTCACGTTGCTAATTACGAAACGACTATGGAAACACACAGAAGATGTGCGCTGACTTTCAATTGCTATTCTGGCCTGACATGATCTTGGGAAAAATAATCACAGGTTAAAGGTAATTTGGTTCAGGGATTTAAAATTATCAGACAAGATGCAAAAATTATCAGGGCTATTTAATTTTCCGGGAAGTTGTAAATTTGATCAACTCCAGGGCACCAAAGAATCGTCGCAATCCTTCGCTTTGCCGCGAATCGCGATTTATTGGTGAAAAACAGGGGGCGCGGTCTACCTCTACTTATATGTGTAGTGAGGGGTAATATTCATTTTATCTGTGTTGATGAATATGCAACAATTTCTACATGAACTGAGACCAGTCAATGTGAGTATGTTTTTCTCACGGACAATGACAATATAAAAACAATGCGAATAAAACCAAACGTTTCGGACAACAACGTGCCTTCGTCAGTGGAGAAAAATAAGTGTATAGGTTTAACATCGATGAGAACTATATGCGGCACCGTCTCAGTCTGGCCAGCCGGGTTGCCGATAAAATACACAAATGTTTATAAGCTTCCATGATGTGCTTAAAAAACTGCTGAAAATATATCTTAGAAAATAAAGATATAGTTCGTTTTTTCTAAGTTCGACCCTCACTGTAAACATCTTTTTGAACATAGCACGAGAATTGCTAGCTGAATTACTTAGAAAACTGGTTAGCGCACATTGTACTGCAGACATTAATAATATTTTCCAAATAAGTTTTAAACACCGATGATATACCGTTCTGTTAAACGCCGTGCGATCTAATGATCAGTTCAGTTATAATTTCTGACCAAATGTCTATCCTTGTGGGGTTGTATATAAAGACAAATACGAGCTAGGAGTCTGGGAAATAAGAGCCAGGAAGAAATATTTTTGAGTGAAATTAATCGTCTGTGAAATCAATGTGCGCCAGCCAGTTTTCTAAGTAATTCAGCTAGCAATTCTCGTGCTGTGTTCAAAGAGATGATTACAGTGAGGGTCGAACTTAAGAAAAACGGACTATAACTACTTCATCGATTTTATCGAAAGAAAACATGTATGCCTAATTACTTATTTCTTGCCACTGACAGAGGCACTTTTTTGTGCGAAACGTCTGGTTTTATTCGTATTGTTATTGTATTGTCATTCCCTGTGAGAAAAAAGGATAACTCTTCAGTTAGTAACCATAACAGCGAAACGGCTTAATGTAACACAATTCACTGTGTATACGAGACCATAAGTCCCTAAAAATAATCCTATTTACAACTTTATAAAAAGATACAGCTTATACACTATACAGCTTAGGCATACAATTTTTTCTGCAATAAGATAATATTCATTTATCTCCACAGAATATGGCAAATTAGTGCCGCTGAAGTTCGCTTTCGAAGCGTCTCCTCCACGCATTCCACAGCTCTCGTGCCATTTTGGATCACGGAACATGGCTGGGCGCAGGACAGGCCGTCTGCGAGCTTGGACGGACCACGTGATCACCTCCTCCCCTCCCCCTCACTCCCGTCCCCTTCCCCAGCACGGCGTCCGATCTAACCGCGCCCCAGGCAGTCGGCTCGGTCCGACCCTCCCCATGGTCGAGCCACGGCCCGGTGCCGCCTGAGTTTGTGCCGGGTGCAAAACTGGAGCAGTAACTAGCGCCGGAACTGGTAGTCAGCACGACCATCGTCAGATGGCAGGAGTAAATGGAATAAGCGGTTCCAGGTTTTAGAAGGAATGGGGCAGGAAAAAGCGCTGAAAACAATGTTTTGCTGATATAGCCATAAAAAGTTCACTGAATTAGGAGAGCAGCACATCAGTTTAAAGCCTTTCAGATGATGGTTTTAATAAGCACACAATCATTTCCCAATTCGCCTCCAACGGTGTCACAGGCAAAGAATACGCTGAAATACTAGTGTGTACAGAAGCAACTGCGGGTCCCTGTACCTTCCTCGTTGCCTTCTTGAAACGGGACATCCTGTCTATCCATGGCTAATCGCCTTTCCGTCGTAATTTCGTTAAACTGCCTCGTGGCCTAACTGGAAGGCACTTACACGTGTCGTAGAGGAGGGCACTCCTTCCATTAGAAGGAAAACTGACAGTTTCCGGGCCATTATGTCGCTGAATGGGGGAGGTTTGTGACTCATTTGTTCATTTTCCTGCCGTACTATGCCTTTCTTGGAATATTTGCTACATCAAAATCGTTCTGTATGAAATATGATCACCTGAGCGACTAAATTTTGTTAATAACTGTCCCAAACGACGATGATGTGTATGTGAAGTGTTTGCCTAATTCGTGTGGCATGTCTGCTGGACGTGCTGAGGGAATCCGTTGCCATTGGTTGCTGTGTCGTGCTGTGTTATATCTGCGATCTGACGCGCCCTGCCGCCTCCACCCGCAGACCCGATCGTGAAGAACTCTGCGCGCCAGCAGTCGATGTCGTCCTCGCCGACGCCGATGACGGGCGCCGTGTCGGGCGCGCTGGTGGCCGACGCCGTCGGCGGCGGCATGCCCAGCTCGCCGATCGTATCGCCCGGCGCGCCGCCGCTCACCGCCGCCACCAGCAACCAGTGAGTGGCGCCCCGGGCCGTCCGCCGGGACGCCCGCGCCCGCGCGCGCGCACGCGAGCCGCTCGGACCTGACGCGCTCCGACCACCCGACCGGAGCGCGCGCCTCGCGCGGCGACCGCGCCGCAGCGGCCGACGCCGCCGTCAGACTGTACATGTTTGCAAATATTTAACATTTTCCATCGGTTTTGTTGAAAAGTGTCCCGGGCGTCGGCAGCAGCTAATCCATGGAGACGGCAGGGTGCGACCGGCCCTGAGCGCGTGCGGCGCCAAGTGAACGTGACAGAGTAGCGAGCGCGCGCGAGAGAGAGGGAGCGAGCGATGAGGGACGGGACCAGGGCGCCGGCTGCGGCGCCGGCCGTCTCCGCGCGCGTCCGCTGCCGTCGACGCCACCGGCCAGGGAGCGAGCCGCTGACACGTGTACACGGCATTGAATAAAGTGGACTATGACGGCCGACTGTGCCGAGACTGTGCGGTGTTGTGCGGCGCTCTGTTCAGCCCCGGGCGGCCGGCCGAGCGCCGGACCCGGCTCGGACGAGCCGGACGCGAGCTGCAGGTCGTGTTGGTGGTTTCCGACTGTGGTTATGGAATTACGGAGCGTGTTAGGAGTTCACGGAGCTGTCAATCGTCTGGTAGCGCTAGAATTTCTACTCATCGGCGCCCGGTACGGGGGGCCGACCCAGCGATGAATTTGGTCGACCCGCGACGCGCGAGCGAACAGTTGGCTGGACGTGCGACCGTACGAATCCAGTCTGGTCTTTAGCTTGTTTTTACATTGAATTCGAATACCGTGCGGAGTTGTACTTTTGTTGTCAATGCTGGTCAATGAAGGCAGTCTCGGTGAACGTCATCACTTGTATTGCTCGAACAGGGGAATAGACCGCTGAACAAGTAACAAACAGCGGAAGTGGTCACAGTTTCACGCACACATTCCTCCCGCACACCATGGGATTCTTAGCGGTTCTCTGACCGTAACACTGCTAGTCTATTGCGAACTGAACGTTTTCCGCCGCTCCGGTACTTCCCCGTAGCGTTCCGGGCAGGTCTGAGGACTGACTGAACCCAAACTCGCTTCACGGCGGCTAGAACTGCTCATTCCGTCAGCATTGCGCGTGACCTGTGTCCGCGTCCTACGGGCCAGTAGGCGGCGCTCCGGTCGATGCCGATGGAGCCCGAGAGAGCGCGGACAATTGCTAACACCCGTCGGACAGGTAAACGCCCCAGTTGAAGCAAATGTCACACGAGTGCGTACCGACGCCATGTCTGAGGCTTCAGTTAACACCATTAACAGCATGAAGCTTACAGACGAAGACACCTAATGGCTCCATAATATATGGGTCCGACAGGCGACAGTGTGCCACGCCCGCATTACTTAGTTGTCCACAACGGTCAAATTCGAGGCAGGCGGCTCGGTCAGGCGATGGCCACACCCCTGTAACTTTTAGCATGTTGTTTCACTGAAAGCCGCTCACCGGCGCCGCTCGAGCGCCGTGGCCAGCCGTTCGTAGCCGGCTTGGAGCGCCAGCTCGCCGGGCGTCAGGCCCTCGGCGTTCCGCAGTTCGATCCTGCTCCCGGCTGAGACTAGAAGCTCGGCGCAGGTCGTGTGACCGAACATGGCTGCCGCGTGTAGCGCCGACTCGCCGTTCTGTGGGGAGGGGATGAGTAGTGGTCAGTTTCCCTGGATTAAGCACGACAATCTCGGAGTATGCGTACCACAAATCAGAGGCAGAATGGATTGAGCCGAAGCCCCGATTAGAAATGCGAGGTAGTAAGGCCGATGCATGCGTGTTGACGTTTGTGTCCGTCGTTTATAGAAAATGGTACCGTGGAAAAAGACGAACTTTCGTTTCATCTCGTAATCTGGATAATAACTAGACCGACGTTTGTCGTCAGCTCGTGCCAACCGGGGACGCCACTCCGGATGGCGTGGGCCCCTGTGTAATGTGTATTGTGTATAGCAGGTCCTTACCGGTAAAACTGATAGGCAAGGGGAGTGCGGCAGCAGCGCGCGCACCACCTCCTCGTGACCTTTGTGGGCCGCCTTGAACAGCGCTGTGGCCCCGTCCTGTGAAGGAAACAGATTGTCACGGAGATGGTCACCGATGGCTCAGGGTAATGTTGAAGGAAGGATGGTAACTTCAGTGGAATGGAAATATCTGTAAGCAAAGCGCCCGCATGCCTGACTATGCGGTAACGCGACCCTGTAACCTGTTAAGGTATGCAATATGCATGCTAAGAAACATTGAAGATTCAATTGTGCGTGGGCCAATCGAGAAGAGGACTGCTCAATTCTGACTGCTAGGCTACGTGTGTCGGGTCTGCGCCGACTGCCGGTCTGTTGACACTCACGTGTCGGGGACTGTCGACGGCGGCCCCTGCTCTCAGCAGGTGTTCCACCACCCGGCTGTGGCCCAGCTGGGCGGCGATCCACAGCGGAGTGGCCCCGTCCACCCTGTAATGACGCACCGGGTCAGTCGAGAGGTGGGGCACGAGCCGGTCCACCCGTGCATGGCCGTATCGGGGGGTATAATCAAGATACCTATAAGAAACAGGTAGGTCCGATGTTTTGAGTAAAGCCCACGTAAAGCCCTGGTGACGTCACTGACATTTCTTATATGGAGAAATTCGCCCATAAGAAAAATATTTTACATACGAAAATTTGTATTTCATTCGGAAAAAATACATTCTATCAATTTCATCATGAAACTTATATAATTTAATTAAAAAACTTGAAATCCTTTGAGTGCTTGTCCCAACCCCTGCTATACCTTTGGTCACGTGACTTCCATGACAAACTTTGCGTTTTGCAATGTTATGACTTAAACAGAAGCAATAAATGTTACAAGCGTATTATTTATGATGTTTTAGGCAGCAATCGTGTAATAACATCCTTGAATTATATACATTCTGCTTAAAAGAGGTCACGTGATGTTACCAGATTGTGCTCGGACAGCATCTTCTTGAACTTCGATTTTGAGTACTTTTTACCTTCATTGAGTCCTAATAACGGACGTTTTTAGTTATAAAATGAAGCAATGAATCTATTGAGGGCAAAATTTAATCATTTTTGCACTTTCAAGCCGGGCTATCCTGGCATTTACTGTATGCCTGGCCTATTCAAATACATTAGCCAGAGGGGTGTGGTAATAACTGGTGTAAGCAAATTGACCACGGTCAAAAATGCATTACCAGAATGCACTTAAGCCAACATTTTGGGATGGTCTCGTTCCTAAGTCGGCTAAGAGCTTCGGTCCAGAAAATAAATTTATCGTTGGCATACAGTAAAATACATACCAAACTCGGCCGGTGATAAATTTTCAAGACCTCAGTCCTTACTGATTTTTGAACTCGGCCTTCGGCCTCGTTCAAAAATCCAGTAAGGACCTCGGTCTTGAAAATTTATTTACACCGGCCTCGTTCAGTATTATATAGAACTTCGGCCGGTTTGTGTGTGAAGCCTATGGTGAAGGGAAAACTTCACGCCCGGCTGACGTCACAGACCTCGGCTACCAAATCGTGTCCGGTGGGGGTCGGGTATAATCTCCATAGTGTGTTCCGCCGGGCCCGACTGATGGTTTGTCCCAATCAGCATCTCATCCCGTCGCCGACATGTGCCTGGGGGTCTGTTCGTTTACCTTACCCAGATGAGGTTCTGTTCCGCCGCTTGACGCGGCTGAAAGGCTGTTCTCAATGGTCTGGCCAGGTCTGCTCGACCCGGCCTAGTGGAGGGTCTGTTCTGCCACCTGCCCTGTGTCCTGGCTGAATATCTCTTCTACCGTCTGATCCGGATCCGTCCTCTCACCTGGCCTGGTCGGGGTCAGCTCCGGCGTCTGTCAGCAGTGCTGCCACCTCGTGGTGACCGTTCTGAGCTGCCAGGAACAGCGCCGTCGAGCGGTCCTGGAGGCAAACACTCGAGTGATTCACCCTCTAAAAAATATATCACCACTCATGACGTGGTGATCATCGTTCCATCCTAAACTTGTTTTAATTAGCGTAACTAACGTTACTTTGGTTGAGCTGCTGGCCATCGCAGGAAGAAGCTAACAATGGATGGGTTATTTTATAAAACGCTGATGGACTCCCCATTATCACAATACCCATGACTGCAGTGCGCATTCCGTTGGATTTATTTTGAGCCTCCCGTTCGTGGACCCGTAAAACAATGCCCGTGCGGCGTGTTATCTGATTCATCACCAGCCGTTCCACCCTGCCGTGGGTGAGTGTTGACCCGCCCTCTGTGTGTGTACCGCCCGGCGTGGGCCGTTCCGAGCCCCACCTTCATCCGGGCGCTGACGGCAGCTCCCGCCTGCAGCAGCTCGCGAACACAGACCGTGTGGCCGCCCTGACTGGCCACCAGCAGCGCAGTGGCGCCGTCCTGTGGGCAACACAAGGCTCGGCGCGTTCAAATTTACATACATTGGTTATACGTCTGAGGGTGGACGTTGGCACTGAACTAGCAGCAGAAGGTGACCTGGCCAGCTCAACACCTTCCCTCTGTCTGTCCCTTCTCTGTCCCGTCTGTCTGCCCCTCCGTAAACCTATGTATGTCATGGCGGTATACAGAGGTCTACGGACTATGGAGGGTCTACAAAGGTCCCGGTGCCCCCTCTGACCGTAATTTCTGTCTCTCCCTCTGTCCGTACCCATCTGTCCCCCTCCCTTCGTCAATGACCCCCTGTATCCTATCCAACCATAGTTGGCGTGTTGAGCCGGCTGTAACCCTCTCTGTCTCCCTCTCTGTCCTCCACATCTAACCGTAGTGGGCGTCCCTCTCTCTCTGCCCTGCCTCTCCCTCTCACCGTGGTGGGTGTGTCGGGCCTTCCACCGTGCCGCAGCAGAGCCCTCAGCACCTCCACGTGACCGGCCTGCGCCGCGAAAAACACCGGTGTCGCCCCCGTCTGTCGACAAAACAACAAACAAACAATGAAAAACCGCCCTCGTCTACCAACAAAACAACAAGTGCAGTACAACCGTTCCCGTTCTACCGACAAAACAACAAACATGCAGCACAACCGTTCCCGTTCTACCGACAAAACAACAAACATCCTACAGGCTCAGGGGCGCCGCCACGGATTTTTGACTGGGGGGGACGGACTGACCGACTGAAAACCCAAAAGTAGACATTCTTACCGTGGCTTTTTCGGTCGGATGCATTCAACGTTTTGAGCAAATATGCCACTTTTAACATAGGGTTTTGAACTGAAATAACGGTTTTGTAGCTTGAGCTGAGACGAGAACAATGCATGAGCTTTTATGGCCCAACGATCACGGCCCAACGTCGACAGATTTTCGGTGACTCCGACTCCGACTCCGGCTCGGGTTTCTAAAATCGACTCCGACTCCGACTCCGGTCACAACTGTCGACTCCGACCGACTCCGACTCCGACTCCGACTCCGCAGCCCTGGGTTTGAGGAAAGTAGTTTAGGTACATAGGTGTCGATTTCTACCGAGTTGGGGGTGCCCGGGCGCAGCAAATCCGCCGCCGCCCTAGCGGTGACCTTGACCCGCGCGGTCTGTTGAGGCTCCAAAGCCAAGTCGGCCGAGCCGGCGGGGAATTTGGAGAGCTTGGGCACCCCCGACTTGGCGGAAATGGACACCCATGGGTATTTCCTTAAAGTATTGGCTAAGACCGCATTCCCACCGAGTACCTACCTATATACACATCTGATGTCCGATTCAGTTTGACACGGCAAAGCCTCGTGTTCTATCACGGTATAATTGCCACTAATATGATCGATAATGCATATTGCATAGGTAATGCATATTGCATACCCGCGTGGGGAGGGGGCGTTGTACTTGTATAGTCACAAATCTCTCTTTTTGGTTTGTGCACGAATCGGCGCGAAGCGCCGCGAAAATTGGCAAAAAAAAAACAGACAAAACTGCTCCAAAGTACGAATTTTGCAGACCGTGTAGCAAGCTTGATAGGTACCAGAAAACCTTAGGTCAGGAAAACCAAGTCAAGTAGTCAAGTCGCCTCAAAGTTTTGTGGTCCTGTCAACCGTATAGCTTATTTCTTAGAAGCTGGAAATTTAGTGTAGCGTGGCTGCAGAAGTGTGGGGTCGGAGCGGGAATCAGTCGGAGTTGACTGTTTTGGCCAGTTTTGGCCAGAGTCGGAGTTGAAGTCTTCGAAAATGTTCGGATTTTGACTTCGAGGTCGGATTGGTGTAGATTTCAGCACAATCGGTTCAGCCGTTCTCGAGATCTGGAATCGACCCCTGCATGTGCGCACGTGCAGCAGCACCCCAACTGTGGCACATGGATATGAATTGCCTAGTGGGTATACCTACCTACATGCCAACTTTCAGGGCAATCGGCCCAGTAGTTGCCGAGATATTGAAATTGTTACAAAACTGACACCTCTTCGTTTTTCACGTGGCACGTGCATATGGGGTCACTCACATGCATCGGGAATAGCCCGATGCTCGTTAGAAGGAATGAATCTAGTGCTACCCTACAAAAATTACCGCATGTACCTAAATCGGTCAAGTGGTTGCTGAGATATAACTAAGCCTAGCAAAAGCGTGACCACGGCATGCTCAGAAATTTCCGTTAACCTACGAAAGACTACGCTCGCTTCGCTCGCTCCGTAATGAGTTTGGGGGGGACGTCCCCCTTCCATTCTGAGAGTGGGGGGGACGCGTCCCCCCGTCCCCCCCGGTGGCGGCGCCCATGTACAGGCTACATAGTACATACAGCAAAACTGTCTCCGTCTACCGATAAAACAACAAACATAGGGTGTCCGGCAAATGCAACACCGGCGACGTCTCCGTCTCTCGACGAAACAACAGTGCAACCTCCTCCGTCTCTAGACAAAACAAACATCCATTTGGTATCATACAAACTGGTACACTCGGGGGCAGATTGATGTTCCACAACTCTTTATCCACCGGGTTCCTATGGCTCAGCATTGGCAGCAGCCGCCTGGTACCGGTAGACTGTGCCGCTTCACTTACTTGTCAAGCGGCACAGCCTGTGCCGGTAGACTGTGCCGCTTCACTTACTTGTCAAGCGGCACAGCCTACCCACACCGTATGCCACCGGTCTGGGTCGGTGGCTGGAAGGCGATGTGGGCCGCCTGTGACGTCAGCGCAGCGGTGAGGGCAGCCCGGAGGCATGGCTCGGGTTGGCGCGGCGCGGCGGCTGGCGAGGGCTGGGGAAGTGGGGAGCGAGGCGGGGTGGGAGCACGGACCATCGCGCGGCTGAGCGAGTGTAGTTAACTTTCGCGTCTCAAGGCGCCAATTATTCTACCTAACAATTGTGCTAAAGCAGTTGTTAAAATGTCCTATCCCCAAGATAGCGCCTATCATCATGCTTGCCATGCACATTACGACACACTTAAACGTGGCATTGGGACAGCCGATAGAATTTATATCACACGTGCATCGAGTTGCGGAGCTACATTGTTTTTAACAGATAAGTATTAAGGCCTTGATTGAGCTCATTGGTGTCTATTATTTCGCACAGCAATCGTCCAGAGACGTGGGAACTGGGGTTTTTGGATAGCGCGGCGTCCCAACTTTAAAGGTAGTGTGCCAACTGCCAGCTTTCCTGGACCGTATGGAGTTAATGGCCCAGATAAGGAGAACCGGATTTTTAGAACTTAGCCATACCTTCAAAACTCATGGAAACGTCTTAAATTCTTCAAATTTTGAGTACCCCAGTGCGAAATTCGCCCCGACGGGTTGTCGGTCGTACCCCAACCACATTTCACACCACTATGAACAATAAATGCACACACTGAAATCGCTATTACCGATATGCTCATCCAATCAAGTTTCGATAAACTCGTTCATCATCAGCTCCTGCGGTTTCGAACACGCCTGTTAGGTGGTGCGGTAGACCGCGCCCAAAGCCAGGGCCCCGGTAACGTGAGGTAGCCGAGTCAGGGCAGCGTGCGCTGACCCAAGCCGGAGCCGCGCGTCCTCCCGGTGTCATGTGATAGCCCGGGGCTGCCCGCGGGGATGCGGTAGACCGCGCCCAAAGCTGCGGCCCCGGCTTGGGTCAGCGCACGCTGCCCCGACTCGGCTACCTCACGTTACCGGGGCCCTGGCTTTGGGCGCGGCTTCTGCTCATACTTTGTGGTGCGGTGGTGGTGCGTCGGGCTGCGCGCTCTGACTTCGGCCAAGAAAAATGTGTCAGCTGATCATTGTCATTTCTGCCACTTGCGTGTGGTGAAATGGGGTCATAACTTATCAGACGGCTTTTTCATATCAATTATTTTACATAAAATCATATTTCAAACCATAAATAATGTTCGACAGCCAAATAAAAGAAACAATACCAATACAGGCTTACAGTTTAAGGCTCGACATTGTGTTGTCTACGATTAGAGAGCTGATAACTCATTCCCGTACGTCGTATGGTCGTAACACTATAATGACCTTTGCTTATTGTCACATGTGCGCCGCAATCGCGATTGTTGCCGACGCCTGTTTGCAGGTGAGCCCACTACAGTTGTTATACATATCTAAAAACCGATAAACTTTTAGGCGAAAAGGGCACTATTCCAGGCCCATTTTTGATTTTTTTGCGATATTAGGTAAAAACAGAAGCTTCTTATCCTAGGAAAAATAAAATGGGAAATCTTTCAAAGGTGGCACACTACCTATAAGCAACTCTTACTGTTCCTCTAATGTGTGGTCGCAGCCACCAATAGCAAACCGTTCCATCTAGGAACAAATAATTCGCGCACCTGGAACGGTTCGAACCGGGTTTCTCCAACCGGTCACCCTACGACGCTAGCGTGTATCCACTGAGCTGCCGAAACCAGCGACCACCCGCCGCGGTCAAACGCGATCAAATGTCACAATACTGTCATTGGTGGTAAGCGGGTGAATGTCATTTTGTTTTGTGTAGACGAGGGCCATTCTCGGTAGCTCAGTGGATGAACGCTCGTGTCGTGAATTGGTCGGTGGGAGAAGCCCGGTTCGAACCCCCCTGGGTGGCCGACTTTTTGGCTCCTAGTTGGAACGGTTTGCTATTGGGGGCTGCGACCACATATTAGAGCAACAATAATAATCGCTTTAAACGTAGGAGGCGGAACGGGGAGGGCACCGGGGCACCGTGCCCCCCTTTGATTTTGGCATTTTAACATTAGCCCTATGGGCGTTGCATGGAAAGAATGGGACCAAAAGTCGGCAGTGCCCCCCCCCTTACTTGAAGGTGTTCCGCCGCTATGTACTGGCTTTAAATTGGGGCGTTGGCTGCGGCACTACTCATAACCCCCAGCTCCCACGTCTCTGGACGATTGCCGTGCCAAACAATAGACACCAATCTGCTCAATCAAGGCCTTAATACTATGTATGTATGTATGTATGTATTGACGATCAAGAGCAATCCACAATCGGCGTGGCTACTAATACATGTTATACAAAATATAGCTCCGCACCTCGATGCACGAGTGACATAAGTTCTATCGGCTGTCCCATTGCCACGCTTAAGTGTGTCGTAATGTGCATTGCAAGTATGATGATAGGCGCTGTCTTGGGGATAGGACATTTTAACAACTGCTTTAGCACAATTGTTAGGTAGAATAATTGGCGCCTTGAGACGCGAAAGTTCTACACTCGCTCAGCCGCGCGATGTCCGTGCTCCCACCCCACATCACTCCCCAGCCCTCGCCAGCCGCCGCGCCGCGCCGACCCGAGCCATGCCTCCGGGCTAGGCCCTCACCGCTGCGCTGACGTCACAGGCGGCCCACATCACTTTCCAGCCACCGACCCAGACCGGTGTCATACGGGTGGGTAGGCTGTGCCGCTTGACAAGTAAGTGAAGCGGCACAGTCTACCGGTACCAGGCGGCTGCTGCCAATGCTGAGCCATAGGAACCCGGTGGAAGAAGAGTTGTAGAACATCAATCTGCCCCCGAGTGTACGTACGAGTACCTAGGCCGTAGCCGTTGGAAGACTCGTATTTGACACTGTCATAAGGCAGATTAACCCATAATCCCGTCAAAACAACAATGTCTGATTAAATCCGAGCTGGAAAAGCAGTAGCTGTGTTTCACACCGCATACGAGCATGTTTTATAACAGAAAAAATACAGCTTCTGGATTCTGGAAACGCACCGACAGAGCTGTGTGTTTCCGGTATTTGACAAATGAGCCGAGACGGCGGTCAGCGCCTAAACTGCCGGCGGTGTGCGGACGTCTATTGTGCGCCGTCCGCCGTCCGCCGCGGGGCTGAACTAACGGCCAAAAGTGGCCGGATCGCGCTGAGCGCCGCCCGCGGAAATCCGATGGGCGTATGACGCCGCAATCACAGACAGTCGGCGCTGGTCGACTCACAAATCGCGCTCTGTATTGCTATAACGTGTTTGATCGACTGTGTGCGTTTTGTGCCTGCGCTCTATATACAGAGCGCAGGCACAAATAGGAAGGCGCCGAGCCGTGGAAGGCGCAACGCGCAATGTTTGCGGAAACATGTGTGTCACTGGGATATGCACGCGTAGTCCGTGGTCCGACCCCGGGACGGATACCCACGGTATGTGGATTAGTGCCCGAGACGGTTTCCACATTCACGCGTCTTCCGGCACCCTGGAAAGGCACTGTCATGGTAATCGGGCCACGCTTTCTCGTCGGTCCGGCGCCGTGGGAAGTGCCGACGGGCCGCGCCGAACCGCGCGCTTCAGCCACCTGTTTGGTGTCTATCGAGGCTGGCCGTGTGGCGGCTCTGGCACCTGTCGAGGGCCTTTGCCGGTCAGTTGTGATGTGTCTATCTCATCTGTCGAAATCCTGTCCGGTGCCTTTTTTATCACCTGTTTGGGGCCGACTGCCCGGTGTGTCTCTCGCCTGTCGAGGGCCCATTGCCGGTCAGTTGCGATGTTTCGTAATTCTATTCCATCTGTCGGGACCGACTGTCCGTCTCAGTCTCACCTGTCGTCGTCTGTCGGGGTCGGCGCCCCGTCGCAGCAGCTCCTTGACGCAGGCCAGGTGTCCGTTAGCGGCCGCCAGTAGCAGAGGCGTGGTGCCCTCCTGTCGGTCAGAGCAGTGGGCTCGGTCAGACTCCAACGGACGGACCAACGGGTTACGGACTGTGCTGGACAGATGGATGGCGAACCGTAAAATACTGAAGCGTAGTTCAGAACCAGAGGTCACTGGCACTGGCTGAGAGGATACATCAGCAGCTAGTGTGGAGGATTGGGCACCGCGGGCAGGCCTTAACAGCCAGGAATGGAACCCAGATGATGACAAAAGACGGCACACCAGAGGTCCGGTCGGGACGGCAGATGGCTGAGACACGCAGCAGGCCCGCCCGTTCCCACACGGTCGTCTGAGGCGGACCGTGCGGACCTGCTGGGAAGCCCCGCGGGCACCGCCGGCCGACCGACCACCGGCGTCACACCGGAACTCAGCTATCACCGGGCACAAACAGGAACAGAAAAGAAAAACAGCCCCGGACGAGCTCCCAGCGTGGGGCCGAGCTGGAAACGCACGGCGAGGAGCTCAAAGTCACCGCTTCTTGGGAAGCTGGGAAGTGCATTATATCGACATATGGTGCCACTGGGAGCCCAGTTGCAGCTGTAGGTGCCGGTACGCAGGGACGAATGAACGCTGGGCAGGGACGGACCTTTGGCAGATATTCTACCCCTATGGACGGTCTCACTGACCCGGCATCGACTTATACACAAAACAAGGCGCACGGGGCATGAACGGCTGCCGTGTAACGAGACAGCGTAACCGTGACCGTGTATTCCGGCAGCAGCTGATTTATACCGCACCTTACCGACACGCTGTCGATCTCACACGTGCCAGCTTGCGGTTACTGCAGCAAGCGAAGGAGTCGGCGGGCTGCCGCAGCAGATGTTTCCTATTTGTATTGCGTGTTTCTTACTTACCTACAGCCACTACCCGGATGGCCCTGTTACCACTCCAGGGAAATTCGCAACCTCCAATCACACGGGTATGAAGGCTGGGAAACTGGTGGAATGAGCTCTTCAGCCGCAACAACCATGCAGCATGAGCAGCATGACTGGTATAAAATATATATTTGGAAGCAATGTCACGCTGGATTCAGGTCACCGTCGTGCGCCACTGTTGCATGGGACGTGCAACATTGGCAACTTCTTCAGCCGGCCTATTTTTCTTATGAGCTTAATTATGCATGTCACTTCACTGAAAGGCATACGCCCGCTCTGCAATCAACACTCAATGCACAAAAATCTTCGCTATCTATAACGCTGCACTGTTCTCCGTCTATTCTGCCCCGCCTTCCTGGTACAATTGTCCTCCGGGCCAGGCGGTCAAAATACCATATAAACGTAGGTATACGCAATAAAGACAGGATACCGGCCACCGCGGTTCGCTAAATCGTTGTTCCGATTTATCGGATCTAAATGTTGTTCCGTTGAGTTGTTCCGAGTCTCTCTCGGTCCTCTATGCGCCGATCTCGGCTGAGTCGCTCCGACTCCGAGGCGATCTGAGCTGAGTCGCTCAGAGTCAGAGCTGCTCTGAGCCGCTGAGTCGTCCGTCCGCTCGGGGCCGTGGGAGTCTGTGGGCCGCTCCCACGGCGCTCGGAAGCCGTGACGGCCACCACACACGGCGGCTCCCGGCTCCCGGCTCCCGACCTTCCCTGGGCCTTCTCCGGTCTCTGATCGGACACCATGCGGATACCTAGTCCGCCGGCCTAGCACAGTCCAAACAGCACACTAACAGTTCGTTCAATGACCCCGCCCGAAATCCCACATCGTTACGCAATGTATTTTATTCATTTATTAAAATGTGTAAAAATACTTTAAACAATAGCATTCAAATGTGTCTGATCTCCCACAAAATATTCATTCGAGACAGCCTCGAATGCAGAAATCGGCGAAGCGCGGTCGAGGCTAAGTGGCCAAATATTAATCTCAACAATATACGGCTACAAATTATGTGCTGAAACAATAATGCACGTAATTTCATGCCTGAATGTATAATTCACTCACCATGTCGGCGCAATCGACGTGGACGAGGCCGGCGTCCAGCACGGCCTGACACCGCGTGACGTCACCGGTGATGGCGGCTCGGTGGAGGTGCAGCTCCGAGCGGCTGTCCTTCTGTAACAACAGCGGGTCAATGAGGGACGAGCTGGTGTTGGGTATAGAGAGAGTGAGCTGTCAAACGGCCCGGTGGAGCTGCAGATCCGAGCGGGTGTCACGTCTGCTCTCCAGCGCGACCGATGGAGCGAATATCTATCGCAGCCTCCCCGCGGCTGTGCGTCATCATCGCCAAGTCAGGGCCGTTTCCGCGGAGTCGAGGACTAGAGTGCTGATAACTCCGCCTCGAAGGAGCCTGCCACAGACTCGTCGTCTTAGGCCCGCGGCCGCCGGCGTCACTCCGCTGCCAGCGCACCGATTCTACAACTTCGGACACATCAACGCCAGGTCACTCGCTCCCCGACTCGACGAGATTAACCTACTACTAGAACAGCAGAAACTGGACATACTGTGTGTCTCGGAATCCTGGCTCCGTCCTGACATCTCCAGCCGCGTGCTCGTCTTCCCTGGCTACACAATCAGCAGATGTGACCGCACCGGCCCGCCGCGCTCGAGAGCCCCCCGTGGAGGAGGAGTGGCTATCCTGACCAGGGAGCAGTTCAGGTTGAACAAGCTGGACATTGGCGGCGCAGACCCAGCAGTGGAGTCCCTGTGGCTCTCCGTCACCGGCCCAGGCCGGAGGACAGTGATCGTAGGTGCCATTTACCGGCCACCCGGCTCATCCACCGCCAGGGGGCTCGAGCTGATAGAGGAGCAGCTCCGTGCGGCCACTGCCACTGGCAAACCATTAGTCGTGCTCGGGGATTTTAATTTCGACATGCTGGACGACTTGAAGCCAGGAACCCGAGACTTCAAACGCATCATAAACGACGTCAACCTCATGCAGCTGGTGGAGGAGCCGACTCACGTCCACCCGACTCCCACGCTGCTCGACCTGATTTTGACCAACCTGACTGACCTCCAGTCATCTGCCAGAGTGCTCCCTGAGCCTGTTGCAGACCACCAGCCTGTCATCTTCAGCGCCCCAGTCGGCCGCCAGCGCCGCCCGCGCCCAGCTCCCGTCACCACCAGGCCGTGGCGACGGATGAACTGGGACGCCTTCTGTCTCCGTCTCCTGACCGCCGACTGGGAGCGGCTCTACAGCACAGCAGCTGTGGACGGGAAGCTGGAGGCGTTCATGGGTGTCTGGAGTGTGGCGGTCGACGAACTGTGTCCAGTTGTCACCGTGTCCCGACGCCGCCCGGACTGTCCGTGGCTCAGGGACAATCCTGACATCGACACCGCGATAGAGGAGCGCGACACCGCCCGGCACACCTGGCGGCCGAGCCGTTCAGCGGAGGCGCGGCGGGAGTACCAGCTCAGTCGCAACAGACTGAAGGGTCTTCTCGCCCGTGCTAAGGGGCGTTCCTCTGCAACGACCTGCTGACGGACCGGCGAGGTTTCTGGAGCCGGATCAAGAGCTTTGCTCTCCGCCCTGCAGGCGCCGCTCCAGCCAGCAGCGCTGATGACGTCACTCGACGGGCCGACGAATTCAACGCTCATTTCGCGTCGGTCGGCCCTCGCGTCGCGGCTGATGTCGCTCGCTCCGGAGGCGCTGACGTGGGGCCTCGCCCGCCCTGTGTGTGTGCCTCCGCCTTAGTGCTGGGGCCTGTCACCCTGCCGGAGCTGTCTGAGACTATCAGCTCCATGAGCTCCTCGCGCGCCGTCGGCGTGGACGGCGTGCCGCTATTCGCGATTGTGCGTAGTTTTGCTGTGATAGGACCCCATCTTCTTCACATCATCAATCACTCCATCTCTTCCTCCGTCTTCCCATCCGCTTGGAAACTCGCCCGCGTCATCCCCGTCCACAAATCTGGCGACACCTCAGACCCCAGCAACTACAGGCCCATCTCCATTTTGTCTGCACTATCCAAGATCATGGAAAAGGTCGTTTCTCGCCAACTTGTGTCTTATCTTGTGAAAAACAATGTTTTGTCTCCGCACCAGTACGCGTATCGTCCGTGTCATTCCACGGAGGACGCCGTGCTCGACGCTGTCCACTGGATATCAACGCAGATCGACGCTGGACGAGTCGCGTCGCTGACGACGCTTGACCTCAGCAAGGCGTTCGACAGCGTTGACCACGGCGTCCTCCTGGACAAACTGGAGTGGTATGGTGTGAGCTCGATGTGGTTCAGGAGCTACCTGCACGATCGGAGACAGGTAGTGACCGGCGGCTCCTCCGATCCCCTCCCGCTGACCCATGGCGTGGCCCAGGGGTCCATCCTCGGCCCAATCCTCTTCCTCATCCTCATCAACGACCTTCCCTGTTTCCTCACCCATGGCCGACTCCTCTCCTACGCAGACGACACCCAACTCCTCGACCACTCACTTCCAACAACCCCAGATCTCTCTCAGCTCAGATGTCGTGTCGAGCAGTCAATCTTCGATCTCCAGCTGTGGTTCCAGGCCAACAGTCTAAAAATGAACCAAAACAAAACCTTTATCACTCTCATCGGAACCCAGCAAACTCTAAAAAAGACTGAGTCATTCTACGTCTCACTCTCCGGTAACGACATTCGGCCAAGTCAGACCGTCAAAATTTTGGGTGTGCTGCTCGACCGACACCTGACGTGGGATCCCCACATAACCATGGTTGTGCGTCGCTGCAACTCCATCCTCGCATCCCTCCACAAAATCCGGCACCACCTCACACCTGACGTCCTTAAACTCCTAGTCCAAGCCCACGTGTTCCCACACATTCAGTATTGCCTGTCCGTCTGGGGAGGAGCCGCCAAGTGTCAAATGCAGCGCGTCCAAAAGACGATGAACTTCGCCGCCAGACTTGTGACCGGGACGCGACGGTCCGAGCATATATCGCCGGCGTTGGAGTCGCTTGGTTGGGAGAGGATGGATGTGATGCTGCGCCGCCATGATCATGTTCACGTCCAGAGAGCCCTGTATAATGACCAATGTCCCCCAGCGATGTCGGCCATGTTCACCCGCCGGGCCAAAGTGTCGTCACGTGACACTCGCGCGGTAGCAGCCGGAAAGTTGCAGCTCCCGAAGTGGCGGCTCGCAAGAACTCAGCGGGAGTTTGCATATAGAGCGGCAGCATCGTGGAATGCGAAGGACACCGCCACAGGCACCTGATTTTAGAATGTCAACCTGCTGATGTCAACTTCCTACATGCGGATGATGCGTTCGCGAGTGTTTTAATGTAATCGTTGATGTGTTTTAACGTTGCTTTTGCCATTGTATCAGTATCATAGGCGTAGGAACAGGGGGGGCCAGGTGGGCAAGTGCCCACCCACTTTTCGAGGTGGGGGGGCCAACCATGTGTTTTGGCCCACCCACTTTTTACTCGAGGCCCCTCGTCTCGATTTGAGAGGACGTCGTCACCTTCCAGAATAAACAAACTCGGTAAAAATAAGTTCCACGAATCCCCACGCACGGACTCCAAGGGGCCGTGATGGATCCAAGGGGGCCCTCTGTTCATACTTGTCAGTCGAAGCCCCTGAGACTGATGGCCTGAGAAGTGAGAGGCCCTAGTGGATCTGAGGAGGCCCCAATATCCACACTGGTCTGGGGAGGCCCCTGACACTGGCGGTCTGGGAGGCCCCTCTATCCACACTAGTCAGAGGTCTGAGACTGGTGGTCTGGGAGGCCCCTCCATCCACACTAGTCAGAATAGGCCCCTGACACTGGCGGCCTAGCCGAGGCCCCCTACCCTCACTAGTCAGAGGAGGCCCCTCTATCCTCAATAGTCAGAAGAGGCCCCTGAGACTGATGGTCTGGGAGGCATATCCATCTACACTGTAGTCACAGGAGGCCCCTGAGACTGATGACCTGAGAGGCCCTTATAATCACACTAGGCAGAAGAGGCCCATGAGACTGATGGACTGAGAGGCCCTTCTATTCATACTGGCCACAGGAGACCCCCAAAACTTTCGGTCTGGGAGGTCCCTCAATCCGGCACCAGTCAGAAGAGTCCCCTGAGACTGATGGCCTGGGAAGCCCTTATATTCACACTAGGCAGAGGAGGCCCCTGAGACTGATGGTATGAGAGGCCCTCATATTCACACCAGTCAGAAGAGGCCCCCGAGGCTGATGGCTGTGAGGCCCTTCTGTTCATATAACTGGCCACTGGAGGCCCCTGAAACCGGTGGTCTAGGAGGGCCCTCTATCCAAACTAGTCAGAAGAGGCCCCTGAGACCGATGGTCTGAGAGGCTCTTATATTCATACTGGCCACAAGAGGCCCCTGAGACTGATATTCAGAGAGGTCCACTCCTAATGAATCTGAGGGGGCCCTCTATCCACATTTACACTTTTCTAGGGAGGCCCCCGAGACTGATGGTCTGAGAGGTCCTTTTATTTATACTGTCCACAGGAGCCCCCTGAGATTAATGTTCTGAGAGGCTCTTCTATTTATACTAACCAGAAGAGGCCCCTAGGATTGATGGTCTAACAGGCCCTTCTATTTATACTAGCCAGAGGAGGCCCATGAGACTGATTGTCTGAGAGGCCCTTCTATTCAAACTAGGCATATGAGGCCCCTGAGAATGATAGTCCGAAGAGCCATGCGGCGGCAACTGGCCGTGGCCATATTTCGGCTCGGTAGGGCCCCACAGAGCTTATGAGAGCACCTCAAGTCCTCCTAAGTAGACACGATTATCCCCATAAGGGTGCCACGCCGGCTTCTGAAGGCTCCTTGTAGGCATCTAAGGGCCCTTTCCGGCCTCTAACGGCTCCACCCGCCTGTGATGGCTTCACACCAGTGTTTATGAGCGCCACACAGCGGCGCCTTTGAGGGTCATACTAGTGTCTCTTAGGGCCCTATATCGGTGGCTCTGGAGGCCCCACACCGGCGCCTCTGTGGGCCACCACACCTGTGCATCTCAAGGCTCTACATATAGGTACATCTGAAGGACCCACACCGACACCTCTGAGGGCACCACACCAGTATCTCGGAGCTCTGAAGGCCCCACACCGGTGACTCTGAGGACTCACCGGCTCCTGAGAGCACCATGTTGATGTCTAACGGCTCCACAAGGCCACTGAAGGCACCACACAAGCTCTCGCTGAGCTTTAATGTCCATGTACCAGCCTCTGAGGGATTTAAGCCAGCGCATTCATAGCTCCACACCAGCAATTGTAAGGGCTTCACACTGAAGTATCTAAGGGTTCCACACCGGTGTCTCTAAGGGCCACATACCGGCATCTCTGAGGGCCCCATACCGGCGTCTCTGAGGGTCCACATCTGGCGGACACCCATCAGCGACTGAAGGTCCCACACTGTCGACTCCGAGAGCCCCATCTGCGTCTGGGAGCAACATGCCGTCTCTAAGATAAGAACCACAGCGGCTCCTCCGTCGAAAGATGGGCGTCTGCATGCCAAAGGGGAGCGGTTTTGAGACAGTAGGGACGTGCAATAGAGGGGCGCCTATGAAGCCCATAGGGGCGCCTCAATGCGAAAGAGGGGTGCCTCTGAGGCCTACATATATGGGCGTCCACATGCAATAGAGGTCTGCAAATTGCAATTGACCAATGCCATGGGGTGCATTCATAAGAAACAGGGGGCGTCGGCATGACAAAGAGAGGCGCCTTCAAGTGTCCATAAAAGAGAGACGCCTATGATAAGCGCTCATTGTATGCGACAACGGGGCGACTGTGGGACATATAGGGATGCCTAGCTGATGACTATACATAGGGCGCTTATATGCCAGAGAGGGCGCCTATGAAGCTAATGGGGGCACCTGGGAAACGAGGAAGACATTTGTGAAATGGTTTTCAGGGGTCATGCGCCGTTTGCGGCAAAAAGATTCTTTAAAAAAAATCGGAGGGGGAATAAGTTTTAAAAATGGTGCGGACTTTCCGCACTGTTCGCTTAAGCGATTACGCCCCTGGGTACATCTGCCCGATCTCAGAAGCTAGATTTGGAGGTCATTCTTGAAAGCAGCCAGCAGGACGAGGCAAAAGTTGGAGGCCCCTGAAAATAGGAGGCCCCCTGGAATAGGAGGCCCCTTGACAGGTTGGCCCACCCACTTTTCATGACGTTCCTACGCCCGTGATCAGTATCATATATTTTTAATTGGGTCTCATTTAGCTCTTATGTCACCATGTCACATTCCTGACCGGATTCTTAATACCCACCCCGTGGAAGAATTCTAATAAATGACTTTGACTTTGACTTTGGGTGTCCCTCTGAAACAACGGTGGACAGAGGAGAACAGCGGTTAGCGAATTGGAGGATTGTGGGGCTGGATGGACTGTCCGGTGGAGCTGCAGGTCGGCTTGGCCGTCCTTCTGCAACAACAGAGAACAGAGACTATAGGGGTTAGCAAAGGACGGACCTGGGCTGGGATAGAGAGAGTGAACTGTCAAACCATGTGGTGAAGCCGCAGGTCCGAGCGGCTGTCATTCTGTAACAGTAGCGAACAGAGGAGAACAAGGGTCAATGAAACTGTGGCTGAGGCTACAGAAGAACTTTCAAACGGCCCGATTGGAGTTGCAGGCTAGTCGGAGCACGTATCGTTCGGAAACAATGGCGAACACAGGAGAACACGGGTCAATGAAGGACGGGCTGGCTCTGGGGAATGGGGATAGAGAGAGTCAGTTATCTGACGTCCAAGGGGGAACAGCAGCGAGGACAGCCTGGGATAAAAATTAGTTGAATGGTGATTTGATGCACTGCGCACCTCTGTCGTTTGTCGTTTGATGATTAATTGTTACATTTTTCCTAATCCTCGTTGAAACGGGGTCGTCCACCGCTGCTGACATGACTGACCGTAGTTCAGCGCCGATTCTACCGCCGCCCGTTTCCATGATTTCCCTCGCCTTATACGACCGTCTGCGTGACGGGCCACCCGTCAGGACCATCCGTCTCCAACAGTCCGTCTCTGATCTTCGTATCTTTGGTCTCTGTGTCTCCCATCCGGACGTCTTCGGTCTTCATCTCCTCGGGCCGTCTCAATCTTCCCCGGTCCGACGTCATCTCATCGGTCCGTCTTCCTCCATGTTCTCACTCGCCCGGCCTCTCAGTTCATTCCGTATCATCCCGTTTCCTTTCCAGCCCCGCTGTATGACGGGGCGGGGTGGACGGCTGACCCGTAGTCACATCATAAATATGGGCAGCGAACGGGAGCGACCGAATGTGACTCAGGACACCTCCTTCACTCGGATGTGTGACCTCTTTATTAATACGTCGACAGGCGAGGCAGGAGATTGACTTGAGCGTCTTTCTCATGGCCCTTGACCGTTCGTCCAGTGACCGTGAGGTCATCTTTATTTGTAGCTTATTAGTCGGCAAGACGTCAAACTTGTAGTTAACCCTCGCCAGGGCATTTTTCATAACACGGCCTGGCAGGGGGGGGGGGTCGATACGACCCCCCCTCGCGATTGGCTCCTATGGCACCTAGAAACACCAAATTTGGTAGGTAGGTGGGCCCCCTGGAGTTCTCGCCCCTGTGCAAATTTGGTTGCTCTAGGTCAATATTTAGGGGGGTTTTGGGGGGTATAAATGTAAAAATTTCGCTAAAAACAGGTCAAAAGTTTTTCGCTTATAACTTTTGATCTAATTAAGATAGAGCAAAAAGGAAAGCACCAGTGAACTCAGCACGTCAAGGCGCGTCGAATGATATACTTTTTAGCTTGCTTAAGTGTACTTAAAGTTTTTCTTAAATTTTAAGTAAACTTAAATTAATAAATTAAGTTCAAGTTAACCAAATTGCGTCATATCGCATATCATTCGATTCGGCTGATCACCAGGAACACAATGATACCATTTTTTAAGCTCTAGCGTCATTATGTGCCAAGTTATTGGCAAAAACGTAATTTGACCTCAGTTGACCTCATTTGACCTGACCCATGGATAAGTACACCAAACAAAGAGGCACCAAGTGACCTGCTGTTAAGTACTGTGGTTTCAAAGCACAAAAGTGACAGAACGAAGCGGATATCTCCAGTATTTTCCGAATTTAGTATTTTCCCATAGACTTAACATTACGACGTAATGACCTCTAACTGACCTCAGGTCAGTGACCTCAAAAAACCCGAACTATATGTTATACAACTCGGTGAACTTAGCACATCCTGAAAGTTTGAAGGAAATCAGTTCAAAACTGTGAGTTGGACAGATGCGAAAAGAAATTTGAAATTTGACCATGACCTTGTACCGGTTTTTCTGACCTGGTGACCTGACCCAAGGTCACCCGGACCTGAAATTTTCAGGTCATATGTAAAAAGGTTGCCCCATAGGCTGTGCCAAATTTGGCGGCGCTGCGCGCCGCCGTTTTTACGCTATCTTCGAAAAACCTTAGGGGGGGGTCGCATCGACCCCCCCCCCCTCTGCCAGGGCGAGGGTTAAAATCTGATGACAGAAATACGATGAGCTTTGGTTGAGAGAAAAGTCATCCGAAAAGCCATAAATTTGGTAAAGTTTTGGTAATAAAATAAAACAAACAAAACAACACCAACAACAACGAAACAGGCCAACTTATCTACAAAACACGGCAAAACAAATGGAATGATAACTGGTACTGTCCAGCCGTCAGCTGCAGCATCCAGCACGCAGGTCCCTCACCTTTACCGACATGCCGTCCGTCGTCGTTGTCCGTCTCCCGAGTATCACCGTCACCACACCGTCTACAGGACCGGCTGGAGCGCGTCTGATACCGTCAGTTGCTCCCGACCCTGCGGCCCCACACCGGCACCGTCCCACCTCCGGCCCGGAGTCGGCGACGGCAGCGACACCTGGCGCGACTGTCCCGCTCTCTGGCATCAGCGTCATCGGCACCGTCTGACTCGCTCATCCTTTCTTTATGAAAAGACATATACCACGTCCACATTCAATAGGGACTGGCAGTTGGCACCTCTTATCAAGGTTTACTGTATACCTAACGCAGACTAACTTGTTCAAATCGACAGTTCGACAGCGTTATCAAAAGATGAAGACGCTGGCTACAATCTTCAGCCGTAATTTAGACAAGCTCGTTTGTTTCTAGATCGTACTACTGACATCCGAGATAAAAATCGATAAACAGCACAATTTCCATCATTCCATTATACTCAGCTGTGGCCAGTCCTCGAACACTTATCCAACAATCTGTCCAAATAAGCTTGCTCTAGCTGTCCATCAGCCCATGTATTTCCGTCACACGAACAATACATGACTGGGGTGATCGCTAGAGAATTACCATTATTTTTCGACATAAGCAGGGCACACAATTCACTCCAGATCAGTCTGTGGCGGGGGTAGAGCCAGCAGACGGGCAGGCTCGCAAAACAGGAGCGAGAACGTCACGGAAGAACAGGCCGGAAAAGAGAGCGCGACAGCACCCATATACGGCAACCCAAGGTGGCGGCATCAAAAACGATATTCAAATTAAAATAAAGATGCACTGAAGTTTAGACAGCAATGACGTTTATATATCACTGTAAAGTTTCGAGCAGCATCCATATCGGGGACGAGCCGTACACTATGAACCGCAAAACAATCGTCTCTTGTATGACTATCTGTTGGCAACATTTCAACTTCGATAACAGTTCGCTCAACAACAGCTCTCCGCTTAGTCATAACTACTGGCCATTACACTGGTCTAAATAGCAAGCTACAGGTTAATTCGGGTACCAAACGCTTCCTATAACAGGGTGCTTGCACGCTCAAACCCTCACAGACTTTGCAATAAATGTTGCGCATAAAGCTCCGCATAGCACCTTTTCGCTCTAATATTCTATCTCAGCTGCCGAATTAAAATATGTCACAAAATCTCAACAACAATCAACAATTGACCGATGAAAGACTGGCTATCCTGATAACACGTAGCTCGAGAAAATCCTGAAGCATAAAGTATTTTCCATAAAGTCGTTGCAGGAAGACGGCAATGGTAGCTCAATATAGCACAATTCAGTCTGTGGTAATAGCTCTCAATTGTAGTTATCAAACCACGAGCAGTGATTAACACTTCTTGGGATTGGAAGGCACGGATATCAGCTGGGTCAGGGTTTCATTGGGGCTATGGGACATTCCTGTAGGCACCAGACTGCCACAATCCCGGCAAACTCGGCTGGGCGCCAAAAGCGGTTCAAGATGTGTCTCGATGGACATCACTCGGCGTCTCAACACAGCAACACAAATCAGCCTGTAACAGAGCCGAGACACTGCAAATCCAACGACAGAGCCACACACCACAGCACGCTAGAACGCACGCTGCGTCTTTACCAATAGGGGAGAGTGGGGCAAAGCGGCCACCCTAACGTTTCTAACGATGCCGACGCTTGATTTTTAAACTTGGAAAGATTCTTTCTATACCAATGTGATCCCTATTAAATTGTCTTTTATTCCAACTGCGTTTCATTTCCAAAGGCGTTCACATATGGGAGATATTGACAAAACTTTAAACCTATAGCATATTGGCCACTTTGCCCCATCCCTGAGGCAAAGCGGCCACTGGCGACTTCTCAAGTCCCGATATGAGAAACAGAATAGTTGCCTCATGCACGACTAGGGTATTTGATGGTGACAATGTTTAAGGGAAGATGGATGTTTACTTTGTTATCTTCCCACCTATTGCTAAACAAAGAAAGAATTTTCTTGGAAAAACATTTAATTGCATAATTTGGTAACTCATGTAACCGAAAAGTGGCCAAGATGAATGCATGACGACACATTTGAATATAAATAATGTTTTTATCCAGATGGAAACAACTTATGACCAATTGGGGGCTGGCCACTTTGCCCCGGCCACTTTGCCCCGCGCATACCGTCCGAGACAAAAATATTCCAGCTCAGCTATTAGTGGGGTAAAAAGCATTAAAATTGGTAGAAGGCATGTACGATAACCACGCAATGCATGGACAAAAACGCTTATAAAAATTCCAAACGGTTATGGAATAAAATAACATTTAAAAATTGTAAACATAATTGGTAACCTGGCAAGAAATGCTTTTCCGTGTTTCACAGAACAATGGCGATGGGCCTGAAACCCCGGTCTGGCTCATTCGAACGACCGCAAAGAGAAGTATAATTGGAAATCATAAATTGGAACTGACGCCAGCTGTGGAGGGCTAAAACGATGGATGGCCGCTTTGCCCCGGGTGGCCGCTTTGCCCCACTCTCCCCTATTCAGATCTCGGCAGCAGTCCTCAGCCGTGCGTCAGACTGCGTTGCAAGTCACGACTAGTAGTTCCACTGCGCAGCTATCAGCATTGCACATTCCCACACAGTCTATTGTCACACCACAGGAGGAAGCTTTCTGAAGTCGTAACGCTTGCCAAACGGCGGCGGACTGTCACCTAGCTGAAGCGGAAGGTGCCGAACTTGACGAGTCGGATGGTATCCGAGTAGATGAGGTAGCTGATGACTGCCGGCGGCAGCGGCAGGCGGGCCAGCAGCGGCAGCCGGCGCCGGCCTAGCCAGCGGCGTACGCGGAGTCGGCACAGGTTCTGTAGAGAGTGCGGCGTACCTGAGGACCGGGGCAGGGTCATGGACCGGTACCCGACGGCCGGCACTTGGCAGTGGCAGCACACAGTGGGAACGGGGAGCATGGGGCCTACAACTGACAGTAAACAAGGCCAGTCCAACAGACTGATGCCAGAAAAGCAACGTCGTAGCATGTCTTAAACATCAAGTAGCAAAGGTGGACGCTACATCACAAGTGGCAGATACCCTGAGCTAGCATTCTTAAAACCCGAGGGGTTTGTAGCAGGGCAGAGATCGGCTCGTGTACCCTACCTGCTAGCTGTTTGAGCGGTTTGACGAGCAGACTGTCTGGCTCGACCTCCCAGGCGAGCAGGCCGCGGCCGTTGAGCTGCCACAGGTTACCGCCAAACTCGTACAGAAGCTCGATAAACTCCACAGAGCACCTGCCGGAGAGACAGACAACAGACTGGGGTTAGCGGCTCGGTAAATTCCACAGAACCCCTGTAGGACAGACACAGCAGATAGGTAGGGGTCAGCGGATCGAACAATAATAGTGAACAGACAAAGCAAACAATCAATCACAGACGGAATTTAGCGGACACACATAGAGGACTGGTGAGAAACAGGCTCCAACCACTTTCAGCTATGCATCGGAACAAAGGCCCATTGAAGTTGAGGCATGAGAGATTCGTGTTCCACTTATCTTATCAGTTATCAGTTAATCACTTAGAGTCCCGTGTGCTCAACACTGGTCACTGACAAACCAATATGCTAGACAAATCGCATCATTTTCACAGATGTCTGCACAGAGGTCACGTTAGCCCTAGCAGGTATATTGACTGACCGTCTGTAAGGGCTGGGCCGCCTGCGGGTCACATTCGACCCTCCTCAGCGAGCGTGCCACTCTGGCGGTCACGGCGACTGACCTGTGTCTGAGCAGCGCGTGCGGCAGCGACACCCTGCTGACGGCGTCGGCGGGCACACGCGGGCGCCGTGCCGGGTCGGCCTGGCTGCCGGCCAGCAGGAGGGCCAGGAAGCAGTCCAGGTGGTGGTAGACGGCGGCCGTGTGCAGCGGCAGCGCCGGCACCGGGCCGCCGCGCAGCAGGCCGCGCTCCGGGTCCGCGCCGGCCGCCAGCAGCAGCTGCACGCCCGGCAGCCAGCCCGACTGGCAGCACTGGCCCAGCGGCGTGGACAGGTTGTCAGCCGAGCCGTCCGGACAGGCGCCGCGCCGCAGCAGAAGTCTGCGAGAGCACACAGGGTGAACTGGCCGTCACACGGCTCATCGGCAGGAGGACAACTGCCGATATGTAGGTTCATCAGTTCTTTAGCAATATCAGCTGGAAAAAAAAACGAGAAAATTTGCGTTATCATTGGGTGAGTTCAATCATCAATGATAATCCAGCTTGCATACAAGAATCTGTAGATATACCACAAAATATAAAGCTCTGTACGGTAGCGGATGGTGTGATCGTGACCGGCTGCAGAGCCGCGATGTGGACCTACCTACCTGGCGCACTCGAGGTGCTGGTCCTTGACGGCCACGAAGAGCGGCGTCTGACCCTTCATGTCCGTCAGATCCACCTCAGCTCCGTGCTCCAGCAGGCAGCAGACGCACTCGAGCGAGTCGCCTGCGCGCAAAGACACACCCGTGAGAGCTACCTGTCGGCTGCGCGCAAATCCGACGTGTATCGCATAACATGACAGAACGGAGATCCTCACCATCACACAACGCCTTCTGAGGGATATTACAACAAGCGATACACTGAAACCAAGCAGCACCCACATAAAGGCATCACAATTCGACTTCCATTATACTAAGAAGCATCCAGTACAAGCAGAATGTCTGCCCAGCGCCCGGTGACGCCGCTGGGCGTTGGAAACACTGATTGCGCTTTCATGGTCTCTAATGGGCGAAAAAGAACTTACACTCTCCTGCAATAATATTCTCTGAAACTAAGATTCTACGAAGCTTTTCCAGTTTGCGATAAAAAACGATTACTTGTCAATACATATATCTTATATATGCAGAAGCATAGGTGGGCAAGTCCGTTAAATCGCTAATCCGTTAATTAACGGAACTAAATTTTGGGTTAACGATTAACGGACTCGCTAATTTTTTCCACGTGTACCGGACCGTTTTAGTTCCGTTACTTTTCGGCTCCGTTAATCGTTAAAATTAAGTCCGTTAATCCGTTAATCGTTACTTTTATTTCGAAGCAAAAAGTTTACTGTAAAGTTGCTGGTGTGTATGAAACCTGCATGCGGCGAAGTTTTTCCTTTCTGGCTGCGAACACAAGAACACAAGTTACTTGAGTGCGCCTCTTGAGCTGTTTGTGTGCGCCTCATCTCTGGTATTCAGTGTGTTGCGGCAATATACGTTGCAAATTGTGATGCACACGCCTGTCATTGGAACGCTGCCTGGCTGAGAGGCGGAGAGAAAGGGTAGAGCAGAGAGCTGTTTGTCAGGCGAGCTGAATCGTCGGTAACGCAGGTTGAAATCGGTCGCAACTCGCATCACACATATCATCACCATGTATTATATTTATAAATAGGTATATCCACAGACTTCTCTATGTGGTATATCTTATTCGTGCCGTCATCGAGCAGGCGCAATTGTTGGCAGGTCTTCGAGAGCAGAACCGCGCTACGACAAGTGAGTGGCGCCTAGCCGTTAGCGTAGGTTGGTCGAGTTGTCCTCAGAAAAATGCACAAGCATTGTCATATTGGTTATTACCGTGTAAAATATTAACGATTAACGGACTTTAGTAACTTCCGTTACTTTTGTTGTGAATTAACGGATTATCGTTTAACAGAACTAACTTTTTAGTTAACGGATTAACGATTAACGAAACTAACTTTTTGATTAACGATGCCCACCTATGTGCAGAAGCATGGTTTTGCGGCCGGTTGCTAGTTAGCCCAGCCAGTTGTTGTTCTGCGCTCAGATTTTATTCTCTGGGACCAAGACTGAAAATGATAATTCCACCTGAGACAATCTGAGATCGTCCTGCACCACAGACAACTCGACCCCACCCCGCACCCATTAGCGACCATTCCGAGCTCGCGCTGCCTGCACCCACCGGAGACGGCCAGCCGGAGCGGCGTGACGCCCAGCAGCCGCAGCCGCCGGTTGATGGCCGACCGGTAGTGCGGCAGCTGCAGCAGCCGCCGCAGCTCGGCCGCGTCCCCGGCGTAGGCCGCCTGGTGCAGCCCGATGTCCTCGGCCGGCTCATCTTCGTCCAGCAGCAGACTGGAGAGGTCCATTGTGCACAAGCAGTGGCTGGTTTAGACTGCGGGCAGACACAGGATCCGTGATGTGACAGCCCAGTGCAACTGTCCACCTCAAGCAAACTAGAAATCCCAATTTATGTGGGGAAAATAAGTTAAATACAAATCAGTTCAACACTTTTCAATGGCCTCCTTATAATCAAATACCAAAGTAGAAAATGGTTTAAAGTTACCTATAGTTATTAATAAATAATAACACTTCATTCCATTGCCTCCAAATTTGTGCATGGCCTTCATAGAGCAAACATTGCAACAAGTAAAATAGTTATGCAAGGGTAAGTATAAAAAACTTCACAAGCAGGTTTCATGATTTACCCTTGCTGAGCACAGCATGCTGTGACAGTACAACCCTGTGGGCTGTGGCCTGCACTAGCCAGTGAGAAGTGTCTAAAGACACAGAATCCACACTGTGCCACAATCCATTCTATAGGTAGGTACCTATGCATTGTTCACTGCACATGGTGCACACCATAAACCTCTTTCATAGCTGGATGGACAGTCTAGATAGATTATCACATTTCTGGTGGCAAAAACCTGGATCACTGTTTGCTGGCTGTATAATCAGTTTGCCGACAACAATGCTGTATAATCAGTTTGCCGACATCTAGTTGGCACTTCTCCACCTCCCTTTGGAGAAGAGCATGCTGCTCACCGGTAAGAGGCAACAAAACTCTAGTAATGGGAAATTTCGAACATGGCAGAAGCCGGAAACAAGTATGCTGATAAACAGGGCCACTAAAATGCATTGTGCTAAGTCAAAGTGCTTAGGTCTTGAAATATTCAGTAGCATTGGCCATCACTCATGAAATCAGTATTTGAGATACAGATCAATATTAAGGCTGGGACCTCATGGGATTTTGAGCCGGTCTGGAAAAAATCTTATCAGATCCTAAGCACTGCAGCAGGTTATCAGTTGGCGACTTACCAAGGAAATAAGCTAGAATTAGAGCATTCTATTTAATTTAATGATCCTGCTCCAAGTTGAAGAAATACCCCATAAGTGTGATCTTTTATCAGCCCTTACGCAGCAAGGCAACACTTCTGTGACCGGCACTGAATGGTATCAAGAGAAAGAGAATTCATCAACTATTATCATACACTAGTAAAAATAAAATCAAAATGCTTTTAAAGCCAGGAAATCAGTCTCAAACATAAGCTTAAATGTTGATCCTATTTTGCCACCAGCGTTAAAAATAGATCCCCCAATCACCACCTGATAAGTTAAAAATAGCTGATCCTGCTACTCAGGCAGGAATATTTTTCTCAGTGTTTTTATATAGCAATACCTACCACTACCTTGATTTAACTCAAAATGGATTTTGTGTACGACCTACTCAACTACAATTAAAGGGACCATCCCACCTTAACATAAGTTTTGAGTTGACATAGCCAAGTTTGCGGCCAGGCTCAGAAACCACCATTTATCCTGGTCGCAACCCCCGCAGCTTTATGGTGTTCAAGAAATTTCTTCCCTTTACTTGCAGGGTGGGACCAGCTTAGTCCCTATCTCTTAACCATTAGCGGTTTGTTGATGACGTCAGCAGTCATTTCAACGCCCGCCATTCCTTGAACCCGAGTTTTGCTGACCTTGAGCTCCCTTTTTTATCAACGTGAAATCCGTCGTCGGCGCTGAGAAAGCCTATTGCTTTTCATTTTAATTTGAATATTAGAAGATACCCACCACTGGAACTTGGACTGATATTATACCAAGGCCGAAGATGATCAAGCTGCCTGCTATATCTGGAGCTTGGTGTTCAACTTCAACATGGAATGAAAAACAAAATATCAAAGCAAACTGGATATCAGTCCCACGCACAAGGGGGAAAAGCTCAAAAAATTGAGCGCTCAAAAAATTGAGCGGGCCCCATTATGAAGGAATAGGCGAAACGATGGTATTTTACAATGCCTTTAGCGTCACACTACGGCAAATATCGTATCCAAATAAGGTATCAATGGCAAGAGAGAGCAACAAGGTTTCTTCTCGAACACTCGCCGTGATAATTTATATCGGTGTTTTTGGAAAGAAAATGCCCTAAAGACGCTCAACTTTTTGAGCGCCACTTGTCGTTCGGGACCGCGATACTCAATAAATTGAGCGCCACGACAGACGGCAGTCAGCTGGCGCTCAAAAAATTGAGTGCCGGCCAGCATCTACACTCAATTTTTTGAGCGTTCTCCGTGACAGGTGAAGCCGGTACTGGCTGCCATTTTTGATGTTATGTTCGTTGAAATACGTTAAACTGAGTTGAAACAGAAATGCAGGAAGTTGAATGCTACGTGGTACCTAAACTTTTCACAAACCCATGGCATCATGTCACATTTCCGCTAGTAGTTTTATCGGTCTTTCGGATTCGGCACACCTCAAATAATTATACAAGGCTTGAATAATCCGTATGAATACTGTAATTGATATTCTCTGACTGTACTGGGAGAAGGGAATACGTGAATACAGAAAGATATCCACCCACGCTTGAATATTGGAGAATTATAGCAGGAAAAACTGTATTGCCACGGTTACAACTTACAAGGCCATCGGCCGCAAACAAACAAAAATACTATACAGTATACAATGTGGGTTAGATTCACAAACATCAAGTGTGGAACACAGAGACGAGCAAAACAACATCACATTATCGCATGCCAGCCCAACCACATTGGAACCGGGTCCGGGTGACCTGCGACCGGAACCTGCGTCTTGCCAGCATACATCACAAAAGCAGGAGGCAGTGTCGTACTGCTTTGATCCAAAATATGCCATATAACAAATGATATAAACAACCTAAGCTCGGACTAAGCTTATCATTATCAAATCCTTAACATGTAAAGGACGAATGGAAACATCGAGTCTCAGACCAGCAGTAGCAACGATCACAGTAGCAACATCACAAAGAACAAGCGGCATTATCAGACAGCCGTTTTGTTATCGGGCTACAGGCGGCGACGGCGTGGTTGCAGACCAGCTGCGAGGTAGCGGCGTGCGGGCAAAAGGCGCGGGCACACCTCCATGTGGCCGTGCAGACAGTGCGCGGTCGGCGTCGCATAGTGGGCGGCATCGGGCTGTCCCGGGCCGTCGAAGCCGCACAGGTTGTCGGCGCATGTGGGCGCGCGCGGTCACCACGGCCAGCTGCTCACCGCCAGCACAGACTGCGCAGCGTCGCCGCTCCGCCGGCCAGAACACGCAGACAACCCTTCTTGCAGTCGCACAACACGTCGCCAAACTCATTCACCTGCTCCACCATGTTGTTGATGTCACCGAGTCGTTCGAGTTGTGGCTCGTGCCGTCGAGCATGACCTGCCCGATCGGACACGGGTCAGTGGCTTCTGCTCCAGCGAAGTCTTCATCTTGGTGACGTCTTGCTGATCTCCACAAAGGCTGAGCAGATGACCTTACCCACAGGGACGGCCGACGTCCTCGCCAGCGACCGCTTGGTTGTGCAGACCTGCCAGAAAAAGAAAAGCTGTTTGGTGATCTCAAACGATTTTTTCTTTATGCAGTGGAACAAAACGGAAACTATGTCATACAACAGGAACTAAAAAAAGATGCAGCCTAGGTCGTCTAAGAAATGGGTGAACATTGATAAAATTCTTCATTGAATGAATTCTGCAAATGCTTTTGATAAAATGTGTGGTGATTATAAGGAGACCACTTTACTATAAAATTGCTCAGGATTCCCTATCTGGACCTGTCAAAAAATCCTGACTGCACACCAACAATGAGCATTAAATCCAAAACCTCTACCAGGTACCTAGGGATAATTAAATTCTGATTCAGGAAAATATTTCACATCATACAAATAAAAACCTTTACTATATTGAAACTGAAAATGTGATGCTGATGCAGTGACCTAAGGGTCTCAAAGTATAATAATGAATTAATCTATTATAAATTTGGTGGTGACTGCCGACTGGCGTCTGGCGGCCTAGACCTTGAGGCTTGAAAGTGGCCTTCCTTTTCCGTTGACTCCGATCCTTCAGATGGAAATGATATAAAGGATCATATGAGCGAGCCAGTTAGCAAAGTGGCTATCCTGTTTCAGCATTCACCCACACAATAGTTGACTGTCAGTCTGTCATGCTGTCAGTGTTGTGAAGTAATGAAGGAGTTGAGTTTTGTTGATTATAAATTGTGATGTTATGTAAAGGACTGGAAAATGAATGTGAAAACTATGGAAACATATTGGCAGAGTATTGTCACTTACTATCAGGACATATGGATAGAGAATACATTCAAATTAATAAGAAATGCCAAATATCAAGGTACTCAATCACTGATGGCAGTGGACTATCATATGTTTTAATGTCAATTATATGAAAGTTAAGACTGAAACTACCTTTTACCTCGTCATAACTAATGAAAAATTGTGTGAAGAAAACATTCACAGCCTCTTTGAAGCACTTAGACCACTAAAAAACAAAAATTTTCACGTAAATATGTTGTGTCTCCTTCCTTCAAAACATCATATCGGATGGCGCCACTTTCGTCGACAGTTACTTATCTGCACGCAAATCGAGGAAAACGTGATTTGATTGACGTTTACGTGTTTCCAAATTTAAAATTACAGCATATTCAAACTTTTCAGTGTACCTTTTAACATCTAAGTACAACTAAAACGATAAAAACTTACCTTCAACACAAGGACGACGACAACCACGCGACCGGAGACGTCGCGACGAAATAAACAAACGGCGCCGCCAAATGAAAAATATTCTCCGATATGGGTAATGTGAAATTGAATCGCAATCATTTTGGGTAGTATGAAAAATGCTCTTTCCAACAGAACCCTAGTAAAAAACGTGAATGGACAAAAAATAACTTTTATTTCGACATAAATATTGGCCTGTTTTTAAGTCATCCTGGTATGCCGTAAGATTTCGACCTATAAAGTGGTGTTCCCCCAATCATTGAAGCTTGAGCAGTGAAAAATATGAAAGCCTAATCTGTTTTGCACCATTAGTGATTCTCCTAGGGTGTTGCCATTTCTCCCTAGGTGTTGCGAGTTGCTTTTGCAAAACGTGTTCCTGAAACGGCTCAATTTTTTGAGCCCTCAGCATTACGCCTATGGAAGCCTCTGACGTCACACGCTCAATATTTTGAGCGCTCAATAATTTGAGCTTTTCCCCCTTGTGCGTGGGACTGATATGGTACTGCAAGTTTAAGTCCAAAGAAATTTGAAGAGCTGACAATTGACATTAATTCTTTTCCCGCAAGTTTTCCATAGGAGATCACACCATGAAGAAATATTTTTGATGTTAACAGTTGAAAGGGGATTGATCTTCCAGTTTTGACGAAAGATGCTGCTGACTGTCTTAGGAAAAGGATGTCGGCATGAGGTGCAATTGTGCTTGTGAAGTGGTTATAACTGGTCTTTTCACAGTGTTAAATTAAATGTGCCATTGCAGCCAAGTGTGTTATCATGTAAGGTAAAATCAAAACTACAATGTTGGTTTTACGAGCATTGAGAAGGCTGGTAGGTAACACCTGCCTGTGCTCGTAAATCATGCTGCCAAAGTATTCTAAATTAATTTTATCATACACTTTTGTTGTCCAGAATGGTTGCACTATTGTTTGGTATCATATTATTCCATGTACATATGGTAGTGTTAAGTCCGACCAACATGTTACCAGATTTGAAGCTGTTACGTTACCTAAGTACCTACCTGTTTTTTTGCTGGCGTGGTGAATGTCACCTGGATTTTGTTTTGAGGTGCAGACCTAGTAACTCTGACTACATGGGTTTGAAGCTATTATCTATTCTGTTTTTACTGGCCTGGTGAATGGCGACTGATGTTGTCCGTGGATGGCACTGAACCAAATTTTGAGTGTCAACTGCCATGTA